TCCTCTCCTCCCGGCCCCCGCCGCAGTTTGTTGCCGCCTGCGCCAGGCGGCTGCTGGGTCCCGCCCGCGGCCCCCTCCCCTCCCCGAGGTAGGTTCCTTCTCCGGTTGTGCTCTCCAGATCGCGGTCTGCATCGGCCCCGGGTTGATCTGCGTCCCCCGCGGCTTGGGGGGGCGTGGGGGGGCTTGCTTACTGTTGGCGACAGCTTGGAGTACGTGGGGTTTGCAGGCAATCACTTCGTCACTGCCTGCAGTAGGGCAAGCGTGTGCAGGCTGGGAAGCCGCATGGGCAGCTGCCAGAGGAAGGGCTCCAGCGGGGCGAGAACCGAAGGTGACACCGATAGTACCTGCTCTCATCCTTCCTGAACTTCGTTGTGGCTGCGGAAGAGTTCAGAATAATCTTTAGTTTCGCTGGGACAAAAGTGATAGGATAATGTCATGTGTTGCTGTATTACTGCCCCGTTTCAGTTGTTCAACAGAACACCAGCGGCACCCCCGCCCCAAAGCAGTACTTAAGCAATGAAGAGGTGAACCCCTCTGAGTTAGTGGTCCTCTTCTGAGGATGCTCAGTAGTTGCCCATCAGTGATAATTCTAACAGTGCAACTAGCTGCTCACCTTTTGTATAAATGTCTAACCCTTTCCTTAGTCCTGCTGAGCTCTTTTAAGAGCACAGCCTGCTTGCAGTGCGAGTGTAAAACCCTGGCGACTCAGGTGGTTACTTTTCCTCTGCTTTGCTTTAGTTTTACATTTATCCGTTGAGGATAAAGTATGCTTGGCAGTGTGAAGGTGTGCTGCCTGGCTCTGGAGGTGGGAGCCTGGGCTTTCCCAAGCAGCTGCTTTCTCATGCCTGTAAAATTTCTGCTGCGGCTGCCAGACTGGCTGATGAGACCCCAGGACCACTGATGAGTGGAGCTGCTGCCACGCTGCTCGTGGAACAATGAGTGGTCCAACAAGCATGAAGTTAACGTGGAAGCATTAGTCGTCTTGGCCCGAGGGAAAGTAACGATTTTAATCATTTTGTGACTTTGCAGTGTGAAACAGGAAAAGATGTATCATTATCGTACCCTGGGTACACTTTAAAATATACAAATCCTAGTAGTTATTACTCAGACTAACTTAACTTCAGGGAGTACCTGCGCTCCTTCCTCATAGCTTTTATGTATTGTCATATTGTCAAAAATAAATTAAGCTACAGACTCCTATACAAGAAAATTTCTTTGAGCAGCTGACGTTGGTTGACACCAATAAGACCACTGTGATGTAGAAGCATCAGTATGCGAACCTGATTTGTGGCTATTACATCTGAAGGTGTATTCTTCCTCTGAAGAGTAAGTTTTGGGGCTTGAAAAGAGGTGCTGGTATGGCTTTGTTTCAGGCTGAAGGCTCAATCTGTTCCCTTCAGAGGCACCGATAAGGCTCGCAAACATTTGCTGCTTCATTTGTTTTATTGTTGGATTTTGTTTCAGTTCTCTGAGATGAGAAATCAAGATTTTAGTTTTTTTAATAGTTTGCACTGGGTTTTTTTGGCCTTTTGAGAAATGCAGAGTCCCCTGCTCTTTGCTGGGAATAGTGAGATCTACGTGAACCACAGCAGGGTGGGTTGGTTGCAGTTGAGATTGTAAGATGCCTTGGAGAGAGAGTGCCTTGTGTGCTGCCTCTGATCTGTTCTGGATGCCTCTTGCTAGTGCTGGGAGAGACTTTCAGGAGTGCTGGGAGTCCTCTCAACTCCAGCTGATGCGGGGAGGATGGAATACCATTGCAGTCAGCCATACATTGCTTTGGCAGCTGCTGCAGTGTGATCCACGGTTGGATTCCCAGGATTGTCATATTGGGGATGGATTTTACATCACTGCAGCCCAGTTCAGGAAGACACCCAAATATAGGGGTTGCTTTTAAACTTCAGGCAAGCTTTGGCACTTGCTTTAAGGTAATCATCCTGACCCAGGGCGTGAGGTTAGAGCTGAGTTCCTGGCTGAGTGATGGAGATAAAGTTAGCCGGAGAGAAGGAGTTGAGTGTGCTGGTGCAGGGAACCACAGCATCCCATGGCAGTCCCAGTTCCCAAGACTGTCCCAGTAATTCTCTTTTCTCCAACATTTTTTTTAATGATTCCTCCCTTTTGTGCTTCAATAACATGATTTTGTTACTTTAAAGTAAAAAAGTGAAGCTACTCAGTATCTGTGTTTCCAGACTGTAGATCTGAGAAAAATGAGTAAGGCTGCTTTGCATCCTTAAGTGTTCAATGAAAATACGAATGCCCTGGAGAACACTCCAGGCTGAACAAAGTCCAGATTGTGCTGCACTGTTACTCCCTCATTTTATTCTTTTAGGTCTTTGTACTTCCAACAAGAAATAAATGTGTATTTCACAGGGATGTCAGTATCAAAATAAGCATATAAAGGTGCTTTGCATGTAAACACTTAAAACTGCTACTGTACCCATATAAGATCATTCAAGCTATTGTGAGTGTCACTAATCTATACAGAATCATATGCTCCAGTATACACATACATGTTCGGAGGAGAATTGGAAAATTAAAACCTTTGTTGTCTGCTAATGAACAGACCTGTCCTTCCGCAGTGTAAGAGGAAAACCAGCCACTGCAGCCAGCACTGAACCATAAATAAGAAGGTGTTCTTTTTTGTTCATAGTTCATATCCAAAAAAAGTTTTGAAGAAACTGAATGGTAACTACACCTTGATTTTCCATGAAATCTTTTCATTTAAAAAAAAAGGTACAATTTTGTCCCAAGTGAGAGACTTCTGTAAAAACTTAAATCAAAAGGTTGACACTTTGAATTTCTTCTTACATAGTTTTTACACTTCCACGTGACCTTAGTAGTCAAAAGTGCCTTTCTGATTTTATCTAGCCAAGTCACTATGTCCATTTGTTTTGGATATTGACCTCACTACAATTAGTCATCATTGAAGCTACAAAATATAATATGTTGGATGATACCGCAAACATGAGCCAGATCCTCAGATCTTTTGGTCTGTTAGTCTATTTCTACACTTCCCTTAGTGGGCAGCAGTCCTGGTCTAGGTTACAAGGTTATGATGTTACTGGGTTTCTCTAGTAAACTCCATTATAATGTGCTTTTTCCCCGATACTCGGTTTTGTCTCCAGAGCAGTGAACCTCCAGTGAGAAATTTGCAAGCTGCAAAATGCTTCTTAATCCTGAATGATGATGAATTTTTGCCTTCTGCCTTCTCCAGGATGCACCAGCAGAACATTGCCCAGGTCTGCTAGGAGTGACCCGTGGGTAACACCATCCTGGAGGTACCGGCTTCAAGGGTGGTAACGTAACTGAGAGAAGTGGAGAGAGCTGAGCCTGGGCTGAACACACCATGGGAGCAAACACCTCCAGCAAGTCACCGCCCTTCGATGAAAACGAAGATGGTAAGAGCCTTTCCTAGTTGTTGTCTGGGACTACAAAGTCCACCACTGTAGAAACTGTGACTCTGAGAGTCACCACCAGCTCCCGTGCTGGGTTTCCAAACACCTGGACGTCTTGGTTAAGCAAAGGTGTGTCAAGGTCTGCAGCAGCAGCATGCCCTTGGTCTCCTGCAGAGCTGTGGTCAGGTGTCAGTTGGTCCTTTCACCTCCCCTCTCTGCGGCCAGGCACTGGGAGAATAACTGTTGGCAGAGGTTTGGTTTTGACATGTCTCTGGGACACACTGCCAGGCGCTTCGAAGGCAGGGAAGAAATGCTGCTGTTCTGGAGGCAGGGGAGGTTTGATCTGGAGATCACAGTATCAGGAGGACTGGTATGAAGTGTGGTGGGAAGATAACTTGAGTGATGCGTGTTCCCATCCCTGCTTTGGGCTTGGTGGGAGGGCCACCGAGAGAGACCCGGTCAGCAGCAGCAGAGGTGGAGGTTCCTGGTGGCTGCCCAGCTGGGAAGCTCTACCCGTTGGCACCGGGAGACCAGCACACAGGCTTGGTCGGCTGGAAAAGGAGAATACATTGCTGGAAGCAGTACTGGAGGCCAGTGTCACTATGCTGCCAAGATTATAGAGACAGTCATTAAAAGATTGTTCCATAAATATATTTCCTGTTGCATGAGTCAGCTTGCTAACTGCCATACGGGCTTTCACCTGGGTACAATCGTAAAATGCATATGTGGACAAATACAAATAAAAGTAAAATATATGAGAACCTAGATGACTCATAAACTGCTGTCCCAAAGGAAAGAACTCCATTCAGGGAGGACGTAATCCTGATTACTGGGGACGTAAGGGGAAAAGGAGGGGACATTGGCCAAAACCTGGTCTTTCTCACTCAGCTCCTTGAGGAAAGAGGTCTCAAGGAGGAACGCGCTTTCATTCTGGAAAGGCAGTGATTATATCCCAAGTAGCACCGTTAGTGCTCGTGGTACGACAGCCTTCTGCCCCAGGCTGTGGCCAACCTGCTGTTTGGTCTCTGTGTGCAGCTGCCAATGCACGCGGCTGCTTGGGGAAGGGAAAAGTGACTCTGTGCAGCAGCATGTTCCCCTCACTGTCCCAAACCACCCTGCTGTGATCTGGCCTTTCCCTGTGTGCCTCAGTTTGTCATCCCGCAGAGAAGATTTTGCACTTTGGGGTCTGCGTTTGCTGCTGTCGCCCTCCAGGCACAAAGGGAGCCGGCGAATCGCTCGGTCCTCACGCTCTGCGCTGCTGCACCCGCAATGCCAGCTGCGTGTGTGTGGCTGTTTGGCTAGATTGGCTGCTGTTCCCAAATGGATAATGCAACTGCTTGCGATTTTTCTTTGGTTTTCATATTTTTTTGCCAGTTACTTTAATGCAAAAGAAATGTGTGTTGTGAGGTTTTCCTGGAGATTTTATTCCTCGTGCATCTAAATGCTCAGTATTGGCACCTCTCATAAATAACTACCTGTGCTAGCTCAGGATGACTAATACTTTTCACATTCCTGATCACCTTCCTTGGGGTGATATGTCCTGGCTGTGAGACTGACTGTAACAAATTGAATTTTCATTGGGGTGGCTGGTCTCTCTGCTGAGTCTTTCTCTGGGTTCGACATGCTTCGTGCGGTGTGACTCCTGTGACTGAGAAATAAATAATACCCCGAGCAATGCAGTGACCTGTGCAGGGTGACTGTCCTTGGGGCAGTAAATCTTCGCGGACAGGTGATTTCTTATGAGAGCCAGTTCTGTGCTTGGAAAGGGCTTGGTTTCAGCAAACAAAACCTGACAGCATAGGAAGCCCCTGTTAGCTCTGTGGCAAAGGGCGCTGGGCTTTCCAAGTGTGAAACACCATACCCCGTGCTTGGTGCGTTTGTGTGTCGTGCTGGCAAGTCAAGGGAAAGGCCCAGTCCTACCATCTCAAGGGGTTCAGTGTTGATCTGTTGAGTTTCAGTAGGCTTAGGGGTCACCCTTGCACCCAGATACAGTATCCAGACCGGTGCAGTTGTGCTTTCATGGCCCTGCCCAAATTTAAAAAGTGGTAGCACGTTTTTTCTCTAATTAGTCATATTTTAATATACTGGGGGGAGAGAAACCCAGCTGTTTTCCATTATCTTGGCAAATTTGTGACCAGAGACTGTATCACCATAGATGTCACAATCTTGTCCTTATTCTAATTTCAGTTAAAATTGAAATAAGAGCTGCTGGGTACAACAGGGAGCAGCACAACGGCTCTTCTGCTCCATGACACTGGCAGGTCACTGCACTGGGCTGCAGCCGGTGGAGAGCGGTCCCACCTCTTTGGCTGTGCCATAGAGAGAATTTTCCTTTGGGACCTGTGTAAATATAAACAGCAATAGCATGAACGGTGTAAGTGCTCCGGTGCCAGGAAGGCACCTGATTCTTCGCAGCCCGAATTTCACCTCTGGCAGTTCAGTGCTGCAGCTGCATCTGCTGGTCTGCTAGATGCTGCTTACTGGGGACATTGCTGGGACCCACTGCCAGGGGAGGTGGGAGGAGGAAACATCCCGGACTAACAAGCATTTTGCCATTGCACCAAAGAATTGGGTCTGCTTGTCAGAGAACCGTGCTGTAATGTTCAGTGATTTCATTTCTCTATACTACCTCTCAATTTGCTTAAAAATAAAATAAAAATAAAAGACTTGGAAAATACTCAGGCAGTTGCAACAAGGTGAAACCTTTTGCAAAACAGGGTTGTTAAGGAGCTGACTCAAGGGTGAAAACATCTGGATTTATATTGTGCCATAGTTTTCTGAATAGCCGTGGGCAAATTACTTCACCTTCCTGTGCCTCTGTTCTTCAGCAGCGGGCTCCCTTCTCCTCCCACAGCTCGCCTGTTCGCTCTGTGGAGCGTGGACCACCTTCTGCCGTGCAGAGACAGGTGGCACACAACAGGGCAGTAGGGCTTATGCCTCGCTCGGGCTGCCATCGGCCTTTGATATGCACACATAGTCATAGCACCTCTTGCATATTTTTCCAAATTGCTGTTGCTATAATTTGACTATTTTCTGTGGCACTGAGATTTTTTTTTTTGAGATGGACTTCTCAAAGGGGCTTTGTTTGCCTTCGGCTGAAGTGGGATGACAGCATTATTTTTCTCTCGGCGTTTCCTCTGAGTAGGCACAGTTGTGGATAATAAGCTAGTGAGATAAAAAGAAAATGTAATAACCAGACGGAAGGTTCAGTGCTGCAAGGTGATCTCCTCTCCCGATGTAGTCAGGATGAGACCATGTTAAAAGCCGGATTTTGTTTGAGCTGCTTCTGGGCAAAAGGGTGTGGAAAGTGTCCTGGAGGATGGCAGCCAGATATTCTCCCCAGCTGGCCAAATTTGTAGGAAGATAAAGCAGAAATAGGTAGTAGGTGAGGATAATGGCTGGGTGAGATGGACATACATCATTCTGTGGTCCTTTGCAAGTGTCCTCTCTACTCCACCATCAGCTGTTCTGTCTTTAAATTGCCCTGGGACTCAGACGAGTGTTAGATGTATCTTTATTCCTCTGCCTGGATCCGTGCTGAGTTCGGCTCCCTGATACGGAGGGACTTGCATTAGCATTCCTGATCCTGTGGTAGTGCTTGTTTTCCTGAGGCTGCAGATCAGAGAAGGAAGGGAGGGAGGAAATATAATGAAAATGGGGAAATTACAGTGACAAAAGGAAGACGAGTCATAACAGACCGTGTGGTGTTGTGCTAGCTGTACAGGGGTGGGCGACAGGACCTGAGCCCCCTGAATCATTGACTTCCACTTGGCAGATGGAGTCTGGGGGCTTTGGCAGGGTTGACTTGTCTCTGATGAGGACATTTTTCATGGCTAGTTAGGTTCTGTATTTTTTTTAATCTAAATATTGTTCCTTGAACCTGAGTTTAGAAATACGACCCCTGCTTTCAAAATAGTATTTCATGCTTATGCTTCAGTTGGTTCTTTATAGCAATTGTGTTACCTTCCTTGGCATCTCTTAAACATAATTTGTCTGAGTTGGCATATCACATGAATTTTCTCTCTGAAGGGCAAATGCTTTGGCTTTTTCATTGTTTTAGATGCTATCAGGCAGTGAAATGAGGCTTGTCAAATCTGTAGATGTGGATTCGGGATGAAGAGCATGTGTTTGGTTCCTGATTTGGACACCACAAATTTCAGTACTTTTTGGAAGTGAGACTCTGGACTGGCTCACTGTGAAAATCGGGGATGGTAGGAAAGCTAAAACAGAGAGAGGTTAAAATGTGATCATACCTAGTTTGGGAGTCTTAAATGAAAAGTATGCAATTTAGTTTTCTTACAACCAGCTCAGTAACAGACCCGTGTTTAAAATGTTAATGAAAACATTAATATTAAAAGGCAAGGAGGTAGAGGGTGTTAACATGTTCATGAAAGCATTCCTATTAAAAGACAATAGAGGAAGAGGGTGTTAACATGCAAAATCTGGCTGCTGGCTTAACTGCTCTGCATTTGCAGCTGTTCCAGATGTTAATGTCTGGCTGGACCTCTGCGTTTCGTGGTCTGCCCCCCTCTTGCAGAGCCCCATGTGAGGTCCCAGCACCTGGGACCTGGGAGTCCCCTCTCCCCGCTTGGTTGGGCTTGGTTGTACGGCATGTAGCTCCTGCAGGTACCTCTCTCCATAGTGGGCACAGAGGGCTTCTTTCCCCTCTCATTTTTCCCTGTAGGCGATAAGCATCTTCACTCTCCCTTTTTATTCTGCATGTATCCACTACCCTTCTCTCAGGTGGTCTAACTGGTAAACAGATCTAGTTAAACTCAATCATCATCAACTTGTGTTTAGCTCTGATATTTGCAGCTGTTGCACCAGGTTTGAAAAAGGTCTTCTGTGCCTAAAAGCCAGTCTTTTTCCCAAGTACTATAGCTGGAAACCATAAACTTTGCTTTGGTTAGATAGTGGCATCCTACCTGAAAAGATAATGGCAATGAAAAGGACACATTTTTTAATTTAGCGTGCCTGTTTTAAAAAATTATTCTGAGAATGGGTTACCCAGTGGGTATTACACTCCTGGCCAGGTATGCAGTGGCTGTTTTCAGCCTTTCTTTTGGAGGAATTTTGGGCAGGCTCAGTGGACCGTATGGCAGTTTGGTGACCCTCATGCATCATGTTTATGCTGAATGAAACCCAGTCTGCTTGGTTAATTTCTTTGGAAAATACATGCATTTCATTTAAAAAAAAAAAAATCCACTAGCAAAATATGAGTACACTTCCCTATAGTTGTGTGGTGGCAAGGATCTAGTTAGTAAGTGTCTGTCCTGTTATCCTCGTATTAGCTTAGAGGCAGGATGTGTCCCGAGGAAAATGGGTTTATTTCTGACCAGTATCACGCGCAAGTCTGTAACGAGGAGGATTCGTCTGTTGCTGTGGCAGAGTGATTAACAACAGCTTCCTTGCTGGCAATCTCATCTGATAAAAAGCTTTGAGGACAAACGCCTCTTGGTTTCTGTGTCATTCAGCTCAGTTAATGAAGAAAGCAGCAGATGACAATTATGTTGAGAGTTGCACTTTTCAAGACAACCTGTGGTCTCGGAAAGTACAGAGAGGGAAAGCTCTGTAGCCTGAAGCACAAGTTGCTCACGCGCCCATGTTTCTGTGAAAACAAGACTTCAAGGTGACTGTGCCTGTTCACTCCCCAGATGACCAGACACTTGGTGTGTGGGTCCAGTACTCACTTTAGCGCCTGGCACAGCTGGAGCCCAAGTATGTCTGAGCTCTCTGTTACAGTAAGAGATGTCTGGGAAGATCTGAGCAGGCTACAGCCTAGTCCTCCAGCTCCACTGGAGCCGGAGCGGTGGGCCATGGCAGAGTGAGGGGGCCGGGGGGCTTGGCGCACTCAGACCTGTCTGCTCGGGGATGGTGTGAACGTAATTGAAGTATTTCAGGTCAGCCTGAGAGGGCAACAGCAGTGGCACCCAATGGAGCTACCAGGCAGGGCTTTCATGCAAGACATCCGCTTAGAGCCTGCGCCTCGGAAAGACCCCATCGGCAGCCCGCAGCGAGCACCAGGTCAACTTTGGTAGCACAGCCCAGCCTGTGGTTTGACAGCCTGGAGCTGCAGACTGCGGCTGGAAAGGCACCAATGGGTACCCGAGGCTGCTGTCAGTGGACAAGCACAGGCTAACTGTGTTTCTTTGTACAGCAAGTGCTTTCATTCTTATTTCGCTTGAAGCGGAAAGGGAAAGAGGCCTTGAGGTTTTCCTCTTGCTTAGCAAAGTGCTGGAGGCAGTGTGAAGTCTTGTTTGGTGGCAGAACACCCAGATGTTTGTGCTAACATAGGGTAATGACGGTAAAAGCCCCAAGGCAGACCTCCTGGGAGGCTGGGGTTTACAAAGGACAGGTATTTCTGAGAGCTGAACCTGCCCGTGAGAGCTGGACACCGGCACTGAGAGCAGTGCCGCTGGTTGCCTTCTGAGATGGTCGTTAAACTAGCTGGTGGTGGTCAGCCTCAGCAGGGAATGGAGGGTGCTGCAGGGTGTGCAAGGCAGAGGTGGACTTGGTGCTTGCCGGTTCCCATGGTCCTGGTGGGGGTGACAGCACTCCCTTGCGGCCCTGCGCTGGCTGCCAGCAGCCGTGACTCCGGCCGCAGGGTCCAGCCCCTTCTGCCAGTGGGGAAACAAGAGGGGCACGAGGCAAATGAACTCTGCGATTTCAAGCCCATCACATTGGTGGTATCTCCCAGTTCCAGGGGTCACACTAATTAAAGCTGATGAGTTGTTATAAATCTATCAGAGGCCTTTTTCTGATGCCTTGAATGAGTGTTTCAATGTGGTTTGGTTCAGCCAGCAGTGGCCAGTTAAGGACCAGATCCCTGAGCGTGACCTTTCCTTAGCTGATGGCTGCAGGGCACAGCGCTGCTGCACCAGCGTCTTGGAGAAGCATTAGCAGGATTCAGAGCATTCAACTCGGTAATCATTGCTCTGGTACCTCATCCAGCAATAGGCAGCAGGGTTTGAACCCAGTACAGTTAATCTGAATTTGCTGTATGGTAATTTGATTTGCTGTTTCTCTGGATCTATTTATTGCCTGAGATGAAACACAGGCAGCTTCACCCTGGCTGATCAGAAACACTTGATATGTAGGGTCCTTCAGATTAGCACTTACAAAACATTCTCCCTTGCTGTGCAGATGTCCACCTCCCAGCCCCATCTCCAGCCAGAGGCCAGACGGGGAAGTGAAATGCGTGTTCACGTTCCCCCCTCCCTGTTTCAATGCGCAGTCTGCAAAGCTGCTGCTCTTCTGTTTCCCTTCTGAGCAGAAACAGCCATTCTGGATGCTGAGTGGCAGCGAAGCTTGCATCCAGGGTTGCTGTGTTTATCTTGCACAGTTATCGAACGGTTGTCTAGAATACCACAAGGATACGAAGATCCAGCTGCCCATTTACGTCTTCACATGGTATAAACGTTTGATGGACTAAAATTCTTTGCATTTGGTTTCAGCAGGAATAAGATGAGACTTTCATGTTTAACAGGCAGGGCAGAGTGAAAACATTCACCGGATGGTTCCCTTGCCTGATCTGCCATTGACAAAGGCTGACCCAGGGAACTTGCCTTTGCAGCTGAGCTGGAAAGAAAAAAAGCCTGTTAAACACCAAGTTTTAAACAGCACCCACATCTCCAAAAGCAACAGAAAGCTGCTAGGGTATCCCTTGTTTTTCTCAGCTCTTATCTTAAGGGAAAAAAAAGTAGAAATAATGTAATATCATCAAACGGTTGCTCAGCCATTTAATGTTTGAGTGTTTGCTCTTTCTTGCAGTCACCTTCGACCATTTTGAAATTTTGCGAGCTATTGGGAAGGGCAGCTTTGGAAAAGTAAGTATTTTGTGAACTAATCACCATTTGGACAGCTGGAAATGTAACAGAAATGGGCGAATTAGAGGCTCACATGAGAGTAAAGAAATAAACCCCTGCATTGTCAATGAGCTTTGACCTGAGCTTCAACTCCTGGTAATCAAGAAGGAATCACAGCCCCATTCCTCATCCATTCCGTAGCCACAAATTATATTACAGGAGATTAAAATGAGATACTGATAAATCAAATGAGCTGAATTTCATTATGTTTCTGGATAAGCATTTTCTAAGATTCCCCAGTGAAGCAACACTGAACATCATATTTTTATCTTTAATAAAAAACTACAATCAGCATGAAAGGCCTGGCAATTTTTTTAAGGGGATATTTCTCCGTGAAACACGGTGTTTGTTATTAAGCATCAGGTTACAGTCATAGATTGGTTTTATTTTTATGCTGTTACGGAATTCCACGCTTGTATACGTTGGCAGAATTCCAGAAGGTCATTTGCCTCTTCACATAAAGGCACTCTCATGCCAGAAATGGGGTGTGTCTTAGGTGCAGAGTGCGACAAAGATCTCTAGACAAAGAGATTTATTTGGTGGCGAAACAAAACAGGTTAACTGAAACTTTGCAAATTCATCCCAAACTCATAAACTGTTGTGGAAACAAGTCTGAAAAACCAGTCTGTTTTGTTTTGCAGTTTTACAAGCTCCGAGTCTTTCACTGAAGCAATGTTTCTTTCTAGATTTGATGAAATATAACTGTAAGAAGGGTTAAAATTCAAACCCCAATACCCCTCCAACAAAGCCCAAGGTTCTTTGTCAGCTGAATGAAACTTATCAAGAAGGGGGAGATCAGGTGCTGCTCCCCAACTAACCTGTAGTTCTGTGGTGGAAAGGACTCTTCCAAACAGTAACTGGTGTGGGAGGGATGGACACAACCAAGATTAGTTAGGGCTATTAAATAAAATGTTGACTCGTGCGCGATTCCCTATCTCCTATCTTTGTGGTGACAAATTCCTTCCCCTCACCTTCCCCCCAGCGAAATTTCTTCTTTGGCTGAAAACTGGGTGAGGGATTTACTGGCAATGTCCAGCGTTGCAGCATCAGTACATGAAGCTGTGACTTAGCAGTGTGGACTTTGCTAAAGCCACTGGAGAACGCTCGTGTGGACTGTGTTTTACCTGCCTCAATTTGTTGACAAATCATCTCTGATTTATCCCTTGATTTGCTCACTTAGGTCTGCGTTGTGCAAAAGAATGACACCAAGAAGATGTATGCCATGAAATACATGAATAAACAAAAGTGCGTGGAGCGTAATGAAGTGAGAAATGTTTTCAAGGAGCTGCAGATTATGCAGGGCCTGGAGCACCCCTTCTTAGTTAATTTATGGTAAGATATTGTTCCTTTGCCTGCTGGCTGAGTCAGCATTGTCAGTTAGAGACACCTTTGAGACCAGGCTGGCCCACTTTTCTGCTGCAAGCCAGTTTCGGGAGCAGCTGGTGTGTTGCCATCCGCAGCGTGACGGGTGTCATGCCACCTGCCGAGCCGGGCACGAGTGGCAGTGGTTGCCTGTGATTGCTCTGGAGAACGCGTGTGCGTGCACTGCGGACCAGTCCCGTGGTTCTTTGTTGGAGGTGGGGCTCCTTGTCTGTTCCACTGACCAGGGCTCTGGTTTCAGGGGAATCTTGTTTAATTAAACAAGAAGCTAGCCCCTTTGTCCCCCCCCAGACAAGCACAAGAGAGTTTATTCGTGTGTTCCCTTGTGGTTTCCTCCTGGGCAGGTATTGCTTGTTACCATAACCCAGTTTTATTTAATAGTGCTCTTTTGCAACAAAGAGCAGTTCCCAGGACCACACAGTAACAGCACGGGATTGATAGCCAAGCAGTGCTCTGTTCGCAGGGCTTCCCTTGGCAGCGCTTTCTTCTCATCACCTCCTGATTCTGATTTTGTGGTTTATTTTGTACTTTAAACAGCCTGCCTTAATACCTTATTGATATTTGACTGAATTGATGCTAATCAGCAAAGATAAAAGCAATTTATCATTTCATTTACTGACAGAAAAATACCACCATTCAAATTTTATTGCGGAAACCCATATATCTATAGGGGAAACATATACATAAAAGAGTCTCTTTCCTTTAAGAGTAGTTGATAAATGCGACCTACATGCTCTGGTTATCATCCTTTTTCAACCATTAGCAATGGGATTGACCAGCTGAGTGAAAAAAGACGCACTGATTCTTCCCCTTTCATTTGATTCAGCATGTTTTCCTGCAGTGGGGCAGTAGAAAGGAATTTTAAATAAGACTATTACTGTTAGAGTCTGCCAGATTAATTTTATTAGGACACTAGTAACATTTCAAGTGGTGTGGTCTCGTACACCACATGATCCAGTGGCCAACATCCTGTAGTTATAGGATTCCTCTGGGGTGGTGGGTAATTACATTTATTGGATATTGGATTTATTTTTAGAATGAGGTAGAACTTATCAATGCTAAACACAAAAAATGAGGCTAAAACATATTGAAGATCACAAGTCTTTGAATAACTTTGTGTTCCTTTTTGAAATCTCCTGTAACTTGAGTGCTGTTAGGTGAACTCTCATGATTTTGATGGTGTTGCTATTCGGTGGTGTTCTAACTAGGGTTTGAATGAGAACCATGCATCTAGACCTCCAAGAGCTTTGGACGTATCTCCACACTTTGCTTTCCTACTTGAACGAGCAGTTCCAGGCAAAACTCACTCACCAGCTGAGAACTAAACAGCATATGCATGTGTATAGACCTGTACAGAGCAAATCATCTGAGTTTCCCTACTTCTGTTCTTATCATGTCATCCCTGGCCTCGGGTATAGCCTTTAGCTTTCCTGCACGCTGAACGATACACAGACTACAAGCTTCGTGTGGAGTAATATTCTGGTTCATGGTGCTGCTCATCACATCAAGAAGCTGGTGTATTTGTAAGAAAAAAAATCCATGAGAAAAAAGCTCATAGCTGATTGTTAGACTGTCTCAAAGGGACACTTGGTAAATAATTGCATCAAATGAGGTCACTTAAAGAGGAACAGCAGATAGCAGCTACATCCCCTGTTGTGTTGTGCAAATGGGTCTATTAACAGGCTGCTGCCAGGAGAACCAGAGCCTGGTTCTGAGTGCCTCCAGTGCACAATCTACTGGCTGTGAGTCTGGGCAGGGCTGTGCGTGCTGGTTTAGGGCTCCTCTCTACATTGCTCCTATGGTTAGTTCCCTTGAGTGCTTGGAGAAGACGAAATGTCCATCTTGAAGAGCTGAGTGTGAACCCCAAGGGGAACAGACAGCATTTGTCCAGAGCTCCAAGCTGGATTTCCACTGCTCTACTGAGTTACTGATCGCTCAGCCAGCTGGGACTTTGCAGCAAGTGAAGGGATCTTCCAAGATCCCTTGGAAGGATCTTACATACACAAGTGTTGGCTGGGGCAGCATAGGCTTTACGGACTGTTCTCAGAGCACTAGCACAGATGTGACATGGGTGATCTCTGGAGCTGCACCACTCCATAGTCAAAGTAGCAGCTGGTTTAGTTGCTGCCTGTGGCCAGCCTCTCCTGACGGTGTGCAGCGGGTGGCAGAGGTACCATCTTCCTCCTCACACTTCCTAAGTGGAAGCATTTCATTAGATCCTAGCCGCTGGCACCAGCTGTTAACCGCTGAGCAAACGAAGCTGCTGTACGCTGCCCGGTAATTCAGGAAGGAAGCAGTAAACAAGCGTTAGTATGAGGTCCTCCCCGAAACAAAAAATGCATGGGCTGCACCTCCTAGGCCCCTTCTGGTCTGTGCTATCAGTCACTGCCACTCGTATCCCGTGATAAACGTGCCTGAGAGCTGTGCCTGTCTGCCAGCCTCCTGTCCCATCTCCCTTCACAGCTGTCAGGGGGAGGAAATTAGCAGCAAGCTGCATTAGAGTAATGGGTTTGGATGTGGCTTTGTTTTTGAAGTGGCTGATAGTAACAAGTTCGACATAAAAACGTTGGGTTCCTGTTCTTCTAGTGGGCCTGCTGGTAGTTGTTCATACAAGCTGCACTGACTTGGTTATGGATCTGAAGCTAAATTATTGTCATCTCTATTACTTTGAGAATATAGGTGGTAGGAGATTAGTTGCAGTGGGAAACGGAGCATGGAAAGGTAATGAAATTATTATTTACCAAGTGAAAAAGTTCCAAGGAGTTATGAGTATTCCCAGAGGTACCACTTAACCTGTCTTTTTTTAATATTATCATCCTTGAACCATGCTTATGCCATTTTAGGTACTCGTTCCAGGATGAAGAAGATATGTTTATGGTTGTAGACCTGCTGCTTGGAGGGGACCTGCGTTACCATCTCCAACAAAACGTGCGGTTCCAAGAAGGCACTGTGAAACTCTTCATCTGTGAGCTGGTGCTGGCCCTCGACTATCTCCAGAGCAGGCACATCATCCACAGGTCAGCTGGGGACCTCATAGGTGGACTGATGCTCGTAGACTGCAGTAGGGGCAGACTTGTTCCTCTTTGACATGAAAGGGCAAATAGAAGCTTAAGAACTAAACAAAATATTCTCCCACATATGTTTGCTTTTATGTAAAACACTAGGCTTCCCAGAGAAAAGCATTTCACATACAACAGGGAGCATGTTATTTCTCCCTCTGGGATAGCCCTGATATAGCATATTTGATTTGTTTGCTGATCCTGCAAAAAGCTGCCTCTAATAGGTTTAATTAGCTGTAGCTCATTAATACTCCTCCTGGTCCAGGGAGGGTAGGCATTAGCATTCAGAATTCCCCTGCTGTCACACTGGAAGGTGTCTCCCTTTTGCTCCCCTCTCTGTACCGCACTGAAAGACAAGGAACGGGACCAAACACAGCTTTTTTCTGTATGAGATTAAATCGCTTTCTAGAAGTGGTGAGAGTTTTGTTTTGGCCACTAAGATTTTTCATGGCCAGTGAAAAAATATTTGAGCTCTTCCCACACATTTGAAGACCTGCAAAATAACAGAGGAGGTAGAGCTTTTCCCTCGTTGGAGAGGCAGGGTTTGGCTCTGGACGGACAGACGTGCAGCTGTTTCCTACTGGTGTACTGGGCAATGCAAACCTCGGGGGTCCAAGGGTTTGACTTAGTAGCTGCTAACAGGGGGTATGAACAGGGATGGACTAGCAGAGGGTTAATAAAGGCCGGGAGAAAATTATCTCATTTATAAATATCACTCCAGAAGAGCATTCTTGTAAAGTGTAAAAATAAAGCATGGTACAAAATTTAAAATTGAGATGATCCTGGTTGTTAGTAAGGGAAGGAACACGCTATTCAAGGGCTAATGAAGATTAACGCTTATTGATGTCCGTAGCGTTTGGCTGCCATTTCTGAGATGTGAAAGCAGAAAGGCTGATGCTTGGTGTGCCCGTAGCATGCCCTCCACAGTTGTGGAGAACCCCAGAGCACCAGAGACGTTTTGCTCTGCTTCAGTTGGAGCCAGACCTCTTTGGGGATAGCTCCCACTTTCTCAGGAGTCTCATCTTTCATGCTGCTTGTTTTATTTTATACCTGCATAGATTTCTACTCTGATGCACCTGATCTTGGCAGGCAGGCCATCCCAGCTGCCCTGTTCAGGCTCCAACGTGCACTGCTGTGGTCCAGGACACGAAGCCAGCGTGCGGTGATGGGGGCATTGTGCTGGCCGCCTCCACCCGGCACCTGCTCACCGGCACCAAATAATGGATGAGCATGAATTAAACATCATGAAATGCAGACTCGGCTGTCTCTGTCCTGGGCAGCGAGGGGTAAATCCTCACACTGTTGGCTTGGCCTGAACAAAGTGAGTGGGGCACAGGCCTAAGGGAAGCACAAGGGAGAAATCCTTCTCTATTAGTAGTGTATTACAATTAGTAGTAGTGTTTTTAGGACTAAGGGGCTGGAGGTTCTTCATGATTCAATGCTGTAAGAACGAGTCTGCATGAGAAGGAGACTGCTCCTCGTAATGATGGAAGATGTAACAGCTAAGGGAGCACAGGGTGCCTGGAGGGCTGCGTCCCCGTTCTGAGCCGCATCCCTGCAGTCGTGTGGCCATCAGGATCGCCGAGGGGTGGGCTGGCATCCTGCTACGGCTGCAGCGAAAGGGCAGGTACGAAGAGGACAGCCAAGGGGCAAAACTCCTGGGATTTCCCAGAGGGTTATTTGTAAATATAGGGGGGACAAGCTAAAGTTTATGCTGCAATGTGTATTTCAAGCAGCTATACGAGTTTAAGGTGACTCGAGTACAACAAAACATGTATGACAGTCTGTAAAATTTGCAAGTTATTTAACTAACACTGTAATGCAAGTTGTTTAACACTGTAACCCAGTGGGATGGTGTTAGATTGATAAAGTGACTCAGCTGAGTCAATTACACTGCAACATCTGTAATTGGGAACATCAGGAGACAGGCAAGTGATTGCTTATTTTGTCTGAACAAAGCTGTGCAGAGGCAGCAAACACAGACTGATGGCTGGAATTATTTCCCACCTACATGTAGAAGAGTGGGAAATATTTGTTAATTTTTTCAGGCTAGGAAATGGTATAACCAGTTTATAAAAAATAAATATACAAATAATCAATAAACAAAATGATCCCTGCTCATTGTTTGCATCCTAGGAATGCTCTCACTGTGCTGGTGTAATTCCATAGGCTGCATACCAGACTGAGTGATATCAGAAAAGGACCCAGTGGAAATTAAAAAAAAAAAAAAAAAAAAAAAAGTTGAAAACTGGATGAGACACGGAAACCTATCTTTACGGTTAATTTCAAAACTTTGAAAATATTTTTGTATCAAGGGATTCAAATAATCCATTTTTTTTCAAACTCTTTTTGCTGAAACATTTCTTAACCTTTTTCCTTAAGTTAGCATTTTCTCAAAAATACCAAGTGTGGCATCGCTTTTCGCTATCAAATACAGTGCTTCTGACCACCTGGACTGTTTGGCTCTAACCTGTGGCACAGTTTTGCTGCGCTTACGGGAAAACCAGCCACTTACCTGAAGCCACCCCATTCTCTCTTGATAAAGATGCCTGTCCCTGAGGTTACCTGTGTGATGGGGGATGGCACAAGGAAGGTAACTGGTATTTATAACCCACTGGAAGTAGTCTGGGTGAGAAGATGCCAGAGAACCGTAAGCTATTACATGATAATTAGATATATTGTCTTTTCTTGATTCCAGGTGGCTAGGTGAATTCAAACTTTATCTTAGTGATTGCATTTTTAAAGATAAAATCCTAAACCTGCTAATTTCTTCCCTTTGAACCCCTGGGCCTGGTGGAAAGCATCAGGACAGTCCAGGGTTATTGCACGTGTGCCTGCCTTGTGTATGTGATATCTCCTTATGGTGCATTAAATTGCCCCGTGTCTGGCTCAGACTGATAGCAGGTGAATGGGGACTGATGTAATTAGCTCATTAAAACCAGGTAATGTCTTGTAGAGTCACTCAGGTGGATACAGTTGGCGTATCAGGTGTATGTTTTCTCCCTACAGTGTTGCTATAGGTATTATTTTTTGTTTTTTATTCAGGAACAAAACCTGTGGGGAACCCATCTGTTTCTAGAACAAAGATGTTAAAATAATTTAATTTTTACTGAGTAAATGGGGAACAGCTCTCAATATAGTATTGAAACAGATTAAGAAGTAAAAGGAGGAAAAAGATAAAAAGAAGCTCTAACGTTGTAGGTGGACTACCTGGGTGCTGCTAGACCAAACCACAGCAGCCTTCACAGCCATAGCCCTGTACTACCATTTCTGCTTTTGTTGTTTGATTAGTCACTCTCTTATGCCTAAATCAAAACCTGCAGGAACATCAGAGCTCAAGAGCCCCAGCAAAGACACTTTCTAGGGCATGATGTCTCTGGCAGCGTGTCCCCTGCCCGGAGCCTGGGTTTCCTAAAGTGTCTGCAGCCGTGTTTTATGTCACTTTTCTAGGCTAATGGCTGTCTCCCCTTCTCTGCCTTTTTTCCTAGAGACATCAAGCCTGACAACATTTTACTGGATGAGCATGGTAAGTGCCAGTTGCTTTGTGGTTGTGCATATGCATGAAAGCAGAGTCAGAAACAGGACATCCAAGTTAAAGTTTCAGTGCTTGCTGTTTTCCTCATTTTGTGTTGTTTTCTCTCCCTCAGTTCAGTTAGGAACAGGACCATCCTTTCATGCTTTGGTTGCTGTCTTTTGCTTTTTGAGCGGCAGCGTCGTGTACCTTCAGGGCGCTGGGCACCCTGTGTTGCTGCAGTATTTCTCGGGGTGCCTTAGTGTTTAATCAACACCTCCTCTGACTGACTGACCTAATGGTGTCTCTAGAAGGCACTGGCAGGGGCAACACATTTTGTGCTGCTTGTGGTCAGTTGCCTAGCAGACCTTATTTTAAGACCTTCTTGGCTCTTGCTTAAGATGTAATCATTTGAATGAAAATGCTCATGTAATTGCAGGCTGTGTGTAATGTATGCTCACAAACAGAATGAATTATGGTTGAACAGATAATCTTCATTCAGGTATTTTCTTTTTCCTTGAGCATTTGACATTTGAAGGGAGCTCTGAAGAGGATTTGGGGCTGGGTATATTATAGATGTTGCTATAATTTTTTCTTTAGTCTTTTTCGCAGGCAAAACTCTAACTATATTCTTGCATTACTTTCTAGACACATTTTTTGTCCTGGCAAAGCTCTTGCAGTGACGAGTTGTCTGATATTTATTAGCTTTTAACTCATTAGAAAAACACTTTGTCATTTCGTATTTTTTGAAAATCTGTGTAACTAACTGCCTTGTTGTGAGAAACCTTCATTAGCAACTACAGCAAGGCACTCGAAGGGAAAAAGTCAGTACAGGGACAAGGCGTGTCTGAATTCATTACCACTTCAGAGGCTCTTGTGTGTGACTAGGGTTGCCTGGCAGCACCCAAGCCCAGACTCTACCCATTTTGCATATGACCTCTAATTTCAAAGTGCTAGCTAATTATTTATTTAGGAGCTGTCAGAAAAGCTGCTTCTGCCTCCAAGTGCAGTAGCCTCTCTCCTGCCTCACTCGGTACGTCTCCTGCTGTTGCCCCATGCACAGACCGATGCAGAAACTCATCCTCCATCCTCCCTCCCGCCAGCGTCCACCGATGCGACGTGGACCTGCTCGGCCAGCCGGGGCTGGGGTGTTCCCAGCACTGCCGTGGCTCTGGGGCCACTCTCCCAGCCAGCGCTGTGCGGAACCGGTGCGGGGCTGTGCTCGGTCAGTACTTGCCAGCGGACACAGTGACCTGCGACCATCTTCCAGGAACCACCCTACCTCTGTGCCCCATAGGACTGGGGTGACACAGCCACCCAAGAGGGAGCTGGGAGTGCTAGAGCCGCTGAAATGTCGGTCAGCACTCCTCTGAAGAGGGAAAAAACAAAGGGGAAGAAGCTCTGCTTGTTTCTGTAGTTGCATTCAGCTCAGCAGGACATAACCTACGAACTTGTATAACAACACTGCAATTTGGGTTGATTTTTGAGCCTATTCTCTGCTCACTGTAATGTTTTAACTGTCTGTTGCAGAGGTTTCAGAGTTATTTTCTGTGGATGTACCCTTGACTTCAGTGTCCTTCTGACTATGACTTGTAGTATTTCTTTTCTTCATCCATGGCAGCAAAGGTGTGTCCTCTCATGCATACAGAAAGCTTTGTGCACACAGTTCAATTTTTTTCTTGTCCCCAGAGCAACTGTTACTGTAGCATGTTTATAAATATTTAGCCTAGTAGATAGTGCTTGTTTTTCAGTACCTCTTTCCCCATGGAACAGAGCTGCAGCTCCTCATTCCCTCTCTCTCTTCACCAGGCTTTCACAACTGTGATCACAAAATATATGCTATTTGCTAACATTTTTTTTATAATGTTCTTGATTGAGACCAGTCCCCTGAGAGTATGAAGCACCTGAAGACCTTCAGCAATCAGACTTCAGTCCTTCATTTTTTAGACTCTTCTTGCCCCCTAACTCTGTTTGGCCCATCTCCCTTTCCAGCTGTGAAGTACCTTTCCAGCTGTGACTCCTTCACCCTTTCAGATTTACATATCAAAAGGTGCCCATGTCTGTTACAAACCACAGCACCCTTTTGATGGTGTTAATCACTGACGAGGCTGCAGTGATGTGCACATCATCTGATCTCTGTGTAGGAGGCTGGTTCAGGCTTTTGATAGTACAAATGCCTCTCATGATGCCACACATTGAAATGTGTTGTCTGGCTGTTGACTGTCATGAACTTAACACACACCTCATGCATTTGCCTCTGTCACCCTGGTCGGTGATATTCTGTATTACCATATCAATTTCAGCTAAGAAATAAGAAATTAAAGCCATAAATAAAGTGGAATATCGGGCAAATGTCTTTCTGTGCAATAAATAAAGCAGTTGTTCAACATCAGAGATTTGGATCAGGTCCCACAATGAAAAAATCCTCAGCAGCTGACCACCTTCAACAGTCATTTCAAGCACAAAGTTATTTCCTCCTTTAATGATAAGCCTATCGATTTGGCTCAATGACAGCACAGCTCACCTGGGAATAAAAGAATGTAACAGATGGCAGTTTCCAGGAATTGTGACTAATTCATCAGGAGTTTTTGGCCAGGTCATTTATCTAATAAAATTGAAGAAAAGCTCAGTTTTATCTCTAGTAAAACTGAGAGGTTTTTTTGCAAGAGCCCTGTAATGGCTTTGCTCAGCATTATTTCTTGTACCACTGCCGAAAGGTTCTCGAGGGCAGCACTAAAATGGGTGAGTTTTTTATATTTTTATACACAAAAGATGCTCTAGAAAGGTGAAGGAATTATGTAGTAATAGAGGTGCTGAATACAGTAAGAAAATTCTTTGCCTTAATGCAGAACCAAAGGCTTGATTTGAAAGTGCCAATTTCAGGCAGGCAGGATGAGCTTCGGGAAGAACATGGTGCCCAGAGTACAGCTCTGGCTGTGCTGTTGCAAAACTGACTGCAGTTAGAGGTGCTGAGCAATCAGGTAAACATGAGCCTTAAAGTTTGACCCTAAAGCTCAGCAGCAACACTCAGCACTTCCCTCTTGGCTACCAGTAGCTGCCATCCCTGGTCACCCAGACCACCCCATTCTGCAACTCTGCTGTCGCTGTTCAGCCCCGTCATACTCTCCAGAGCCTTCTTCCTCAGCCTCATTGGCTTGATTTGGTAATTTCCCAAGTGGGCTAGTTTATAAAACTTGTGATTTATTTGAGGTGAATGATTTAAAAGATGCATCCAGAGAAAGGCACGTTTGTGCTTGAAATATCAAATTCTTAATAAGTCTTCATGGTTCATATTTATGAAAACAGCTCCCCACAAAGTGGAATGAGAGCTAGAGATGAAAGAAAAAACAATGCAAGGACGTAGAGGACATAATCCAGACAAGACAGTTGTATGTCATTCTCTCAAGTACTCCCCAGCGATTTGATGCCTGTTCTTTAGTGGGCAGACAGAAGAAGAGAGGGCCGGGCTGATATTGTAAAGCAGTGTAAGCAGCAAGAAGAGACACGTGCTCTTGACAGATTGGTTGGGTACCGTGTGAGGGGCAAGCTCTGACACCCCGCTTACACTCTCCCAGCAGTGCCCATGGCTCACCAGAGGGATCTCAAGTTTTCCTTTCTTCCTTCAAACTGAAGCCTAACAAGCACCACAGATTTGATAAGGAAATCTGTGTCTCAATGGGATTCACAGCCCAGAGAGCCCACAGGTGCAGAGACAGGTCCCATCTGAATGGGGCTGTTAGCAGGTTGCTGTCCTGCTGAGCCATACCTGCCCTTTCCCTGCCTGAGGCAGTCTGATGGTGGAATTTGAAATTGCTGACAAGCTGGATGATAACTTCATGGGGAGGGGCTGAAGGATTTATTTATCCTCGCCAGATGCTGACATGGAGGTGGAAGTTAAGTGGTTGCGGCGTGATCCCAGGGCCTTCTGGATAAGGGTCATGTCTGCCCAGTCTGTGTGCCTAGCAGTAGTGTCAGGACATGTACAGACCAGGGCTTGGTGCAAGGCAGGAGACAGTGCCTAACAAAGAGGTAGTCCTTGTCCCTGGAAACTCACAGCCCAAACACTGAACACACCCGGCTTTGCATAAAGCATGGCAGGCCTGCATCCACCAGTTCTGATGGACACCTGATCCACTGCTAGCCTGTCTCTAGAGGAGCTGTACATGTACATCCAGCCATCCTCCCAAGCTGCAGGACACGCGGTTTGGATCTGCCTGCTCCAGGGTGCATTTTGCACACTGGCCACAGCTAATACAGGGCGCGGGCAAGAGGCTCCTATGGTTTACACACTGCACGTATCATTGAAGAGACACAGGCAGGAACATGGACGTGATACAGTGTTTTAGGTGAAATCACAAATTCTACTTTTATGCCCCAAATTTTCCCAGTTAGATCTGATATTTGCAGTAGGCAAACTTGTATCACTGTTCTCATATAACAGATATATAGGCAAAATTGTAAAGATTTACTTAAATGTTTCATAGCATCCAAACAAGACAACAGGAGTTCATTACCAGAACATCAGCTTTTAGACATATAAAGGTGATCTTATTCTACTTTAACTCATGAACTAAAGCAGCAGTGAATTTCTAGCTGTTGAAGCTAATGACTGAGGGAAGTATTGTCATAGCATCTCCATCAGTAGAAAGCCACTTTGATTTGATCTCTGTAGTTAGAGGAAACAACAGCAATTCAGCCATCCTCTGTTATTGCAGAGGAGGGTGATGAGTCTGCAAAACACAACATACAAAACATCTGATGCTTTTGATAATGAGCCCAGCTCTGTCAGGGATGAGCAAGTTCAGTGCCTTAGGAGAAGATGCATGAGGTCAGGAGGAAGAAAAGACTACCTGCATTTAGTCAGAAGAATTAGGCTGAACTAACCCACAAGTTTCAAATAAATTCACTTCAGTGATGATCACCTCTACTGCTGTACATGATTGGTCTGCTCACTGATATGAGTTTAGTGAATAAGGAATAATAAATTAAGTGCTTGCAAAAAAAAAGTGCAAGTAAAAGAGCAGGCAAGAGCTAGGTGGAAGCATTTCCTTTCTCATCCCTGCAAACCACATCCACCTCATTTCCTTTTCAGTTTGCAGGCAGCAGTTGTGCATACTGTAGCAGTGATAGCAGAAACCATTCCTACCCCACAAGGGGGTTTTCATGACATTTGATTCTTGCGCAAGGCTCTTTTGCTTGCTGCCAAAGGTATTTATGTCTCCATTCTAGAGACATCCTCTAAAGAGGAAAATGGAGAGAGTGCTTAGTACCTGGGAACACCACAGGGCAAGTAGCTAGAAAGCCAAAAATAAAGGATTTTTTCTTTTTTTTTTTTTCAAAAACATAGTGGATTTTTTTCTGTGAGAAAAGTTCAGTCCTCTTTCCCCCAAAATTTAGAAAGACTCAAAACAATCATCATTAAATGACTTCTTGGAGAACTCAATTTTTTTGCTCCCCAAAGGGTAAATAAGGGGATATTTGATGTAACAAGATACATCTGTAAGCAGCCTGCAAGCTGAAATATTTTCTATCAGTTCTCCCACCAGAATATTTTTTTCCTGGAAACTCCTTTCCATAGAGTATTTTACTTAAAGTTTCTGATTCAAAGCTGTTTCTTGTGTGAAATTAAAGCAAATCAAGTTACACATTAAACTTTGTCTTTCAGGACACGTGCATATCACCGATTTCAATATTGCCACGATGCTGACTAAAGAAATACAAGTCACCACCATTGCTGGCACAAAGCCGTATATGGGTAAGAACCGATGACAATTATGTATTCTTTAATTGCCATTTTATGGGCTTGATTTGACAGCTGTGGTGGAATACAGATGAAGTCTTTTTGATGAGAGTTTGAACTCTTTTCTTCCTGGTATGTAACAAAACATATGCATTTGTTTGAAATGAGGAACAACCTTGAGAGGTGCTGCAGGGGAGTGTGACGGGAGTCCCTCCCCAGTAACACCCTGATGCAGCTGGAAAATGTACATCCATCTACTGATTTCACACAACAGACCAAAGCAAGCATACCACAAACACAGATTTTAGTGCCGTTATGCCATACTGTACAGCATGTTTTTGATTATAAAATAAGATAGTTGCACTCCTGAGATCTCAGAGCATTTCCCAAGTAGCAGTCAAGCCATGTAGCAATGGTGAAATGATCTCACTACCCTTGAGAAGGAAAATGAAGCACAAAGGCTTGTATTTGGTCTCTCAGTACATTAGCACAAGTCTTTCTTACACTGCTGCATCAGTAGCTCATGATTTGAATTTTTATATAAACCAGCTGCTTTAAAAACTAGCATTACTCTGTATTTAGGCCAAGTGAGTGGACTTAAAACTTGCTGTTTTCCTGGGCTGCAGCATCTGGTGGGCATGGTAGGGAAGGGCCCATATTTTGGTGTCAGGCTGACACAGTCAAGAGCATTGCTGCGCTGATGCCAGATCTGCATCAGAAAGAGGCGAGTGAGGCTTTAGCTCTGATCTCTATCGCCGAGGACAGCATCCTGTCTTCAAACAGCAGGATGGGAGGGCAACTGTAACTGGGGTCTGCAGAGCACAGTGGTGACAGATGTGCATTGCCCATAGGAAAGGGAGGCACAGCTGGTGCAGAAGTGGCTGCCACAATTGGAAGTTAAATGCTGAGCCTATTTTTCAGTCTTTCTGAAAACCCCTCCTATGTTGCCGGTAGCAGTAGATGTGGTTATTTCTGCCAACAAGTGAAAGCCAGCCACATGCAGCCTGGGAACGGAGGTGTACAGAAGGGAAAGGCACAGCAAGGCTCTGGAGGGCTGCTGAGTCAGTTCCCCAGTGCTCAGCACATTTGCATGCTGACCTGCCCATGGCGTACAGAGCACAGTGTTGGTGCTGTGGAAGTGGAATACCAGCCTCCAGGTGCCCAGGGAGCTGAGTAGCTGGGCTGGTTGCTATGGTTACATACCATCCCCTTCCCCATCTTTCTTCAGTTCACAAAAAATACAGTTTAGGGGAAGCTTTTTTATCTCCAGACAATGGCTTGGGACTAGTCCCAGGCAAGAAAACTTGGCCGGCAGCTGTAGGAGTGCATGGAGGGATGTTCTCCTGGGGCAAAGTGGCTCTGGAGCAGGTGGATCACTCCACAGCAGCCTTGGGTCAGCTGGAGAAACAGTTTTCATGAGCAAATCAACACACACACAGGAGGAAGACATACAGTGATTGCTCCCTATGCAGACCTCATTTCCCTACTACTCAAAAGAAAATGTGCTTCTTTTTCTTTTCCCCTTTATAAAGGGGACTACAGAAAACTTACTTATGTTCACTTACTGGTCAAATCAGTGAAGCAGCTGACTTTTCAGACAGCAAGAGACCCACTTGATACTTATAGCGCAAGCACAGTTAATAAACATAAAGCAAAATAACATTGACATACCTGGGAGGAATCGGGGCCAGAGCATGCAGGTAGTGAACCACAGAGAAATATCCTGAGCTAACGCTAAAAGAACTCCTGTGCAAACATTACACAGAAAAATCTTTATAACCATAAATTCAACTTTCCTAAGTTAAGCAAAAACACTCAAAAGCATTTCTATACAGCTAACACAACCCTTCCCACAGAAAATACACCCTTTCATATACAGTAACACTGTCTCTCAGACCCAAGTAATACAGCCTCCCTACAGCTGCTGCAGAGCCAAATCCCTTAGGGCAATCCCCTGGGAATCTCCTTTTTATCAAGATGACCAAATTGACCTTTCACCTTTGCACCACCAGTGCAATCCTTTTAAAAAGGAAAACATGCACAAAAAGAAAGCATTGCTCCCTGTTTTGTTTTTTTAGAGCAATTCTTGCCTCCCAGCTCACACAAAAATCCTACAGTATTTTTTTTTTCCTTAATCTCAAAAGGGAAATTTATTTGCTAAGAAAGAGCATTTCAGTCTGTGCCTCCACCCACTTCCTATTAGCCTGGTAACCTCCTCCTAAAAAGCTGTGGCTCTCAGGCTTCGTTCAGTTAAAATTTGCTTTTCCTTGCCAAGGGTGCAGTTGGCACTATGTCTACATTTACACTGCATATTAATGTTTCTAAAAAGCTGCTTTCATTCACTGTGTGAGGCTGTATTTAGCCTCTGCCAGATTGAAGTACTTTTTAAAAATGAACAAAGAGATATGAGTGGGATGGGAACAGCTTTCCAACGTGAAGATCTACTGAGCACTAGTTGAGGGCAGACAGGCTTTCTGAGGGGGGTGAGGAGATACTCAGGCCAATTTTATGCCTAGATTCAGTGAATTAGGGTTAGTCCTTATTCCGAAGCACATTTACTGTGGTGTAACGGGCAAGTCCTGTGTCAGCAAAAGGAGTTTTTTATTTTTGGGCTTTGTGGGCAGAGAAGCACCGAGAGATCCACGTGGAGGGGACTGTGGGGCTCTGGGGTGCCCCAGGAGCGGGAGCACAGCAGCGCGGGAAGGGCTCTGCGCCAGGACAGTTGGAGTTTTAGTGCTTTGTACAATATAGGAAATCAGTTGGGTCTGGTGAATCTGAGTGATTACATAAAGCATTCTATAATCCAAATGAATTGCATTGTGTTTATCGAACATTAAACATTCCTGTTACAAAGGTGATAGCACACCTGTTTCTCAAGGCCATCCCATTGTTTACACACATTAATCCATTAAGTTTTGTAACAGTCCACTGCAGTTAAAATTATTGACAGCCCATCTCACTGGTGGGGAGACTAAGGCACAGAGGAGCTGAAACACTTGTTTGGGTTTTAACACAGTAGAAAATGTTTCATACCGTACTAATTGGACATGTAGTTAGTCAGCAGGGTCAAGATTTCAAGGTGTGTCTGTTCCCAGGGCAGGCAAATATCTGTGCTAAGCTGGCGTGCTGGGAACTGGGTCAGGTCTCTGAGACGGCGCTCAGTGCCGAGCAGGACACGAGGTTGGCAGGTCCTGCTGTGCAGCTGCAGGGAGCAGCAGCAGCGGGCTGCACAGCGCTTGTCAGGGTGGGAGATCAGGGTGCTTCGCACACACGGGTGTTTGCGCTTCCCTCCACGCTGAGGGTCCTTGGTGTGGGATTCTTCTGCATTGCAAGGCTAAGACAGCAGTTGAGGAACCTGACAAAGACCAAAAAATTAATTGCTGCAAGGAAACCTGTGCATTCTGATTCGTGTCCACCTCAGCGGTGTTTCAGTAAAGGACCACTCTACCAGCCATATGCTATTGTTTTGAAGAAAAAAGCAGAAATTATCAAAGGCATGGTAATGGGTAATATGCTAATTTGTGTCCTAGGCAGAATAGCAGGGATGCTCTCTGTGGCATGGATCAAGCATTCTGTGTTGCTGATTTCCACTCAAGATTGCAGCAAGGCAACCTTTCCTTTTTCTGTATTTCACAGCACCTGAAATGTTTAACTCCACAAAACCCACCGGCTATTCCTTCGCTGTGGACTGGTGGTCATTGGGAATCACTGCCTACGAGCTGCTCAGGACCCGGGTACTGTACATGAGGCTCCTGTCCCCGTCTGTCCGTCTCTTTCCTTAAACACTCTGTTGAAAAGGATAATCCTTTTTAACAGGGATGAAAGGGCCGAGCCAAATTCAAGGCTTTAAGGGTTATTACAGCATAGGAAGCAGAAACCACATCTTCACGAGGGTTCTTGTGATCACAGCTAAGAGCTCAGAGAAACTGTCGCAATACAGAACGTGTCATGACAGTTCCCCGCTGTGCCCGAGGGCCTCGGGGTTGGTGTAAGCTGGGCAACACAAATGAGTTACAGCTCCTGAAGTTTGGGCTGCAATATAATTTACTTTGAGATCCCATCCTGCAAGGAAAAAAAGAAAACTTGAAAAAAAATCTTGTTGCTGTTGTAGTAAGACTGAGCAGTTTAAGCAAAAGCAAACCGCAATGTGTAAATTATTAATAAAGCACAGTCCCTGCCTGTCATGTCAGTGTTCTGCTGCTAACTCAGGTAAGGTTGGGGGCCTTGTAGACAGATGATTAGATTAGTGTTTTGGAAGTGTTGTGTAAAAAAAGTGGGGCAAAATTATTTAAATTACATTCTTCTAAGCAAAAGGTTGTTTAAAATCTTGTGAGGCTAGGAAACTTCTTCTTTCAGTACGAGTATGCAAAACACTTTTTTAAGAAACTCTATCATCAATCTTTGCAGAATGCCTAAAAAAAAAGTTTTGATTAATATATTTTAAAGAACAGATTTTCAAATGAATTTGAGTTTTTCAAATGGTGAGTGATCAAGTTAGTACACATTAAGGGGACATGGTTGTCTGACCTGTTGGGTAACTGAAACCATGTACCCCCTGTAAACATATTAATATAATATTTGAGTTTTCCATTTGTAATGTTAAATGAATTGCAGGACTGGTCATTACATTGACTTTTGACTTGATGGCACTATTTCCAAAGATGGGAGTAGAAATGCTGCTACGTGTTCAAACCGTGATTAAGATGGTGGCACCAGTGGTGGTTACCACATGGGGGAAGTGAAGGAAGACCTTGAGGTCCGTCTAGTATCAGTACTTGTTAAGCACAATGCACGTGATTTGATCTCACAGTCTATAGATACTATTTTTTTAATGTACTTTTAACATCCTCACTCCCCCAAAATACTGTAAAAGTCTGGGAATCAAAAATCTTTCAAAATGGAAACATGCTACCATCATAAATTCTCTTTCAAAGTAAGACAGTAGTATTGTTGTAGTTGGGAGTTAAACGTGGAGGTGACTTTACCTGCGTGGTAACACGGGCTGTACATTGCCCATCATTTTAGATTGAGTTCCCCAGTGCGCAGCTGGCGCCGGGGTGGCCTGGCTCTGCTCCTGCCGGCGGTGTGCAGGCAAGTACTCCTCAGAGACGGCTCGGCCACCAGTTTGCCCTGACACTGGTCACGGGGCAGAAGGGACGGCTCATCCTGCAGCCTGATGTCACACCCGGGACTTGTAACCCTTCCTGGGACATTATTTTTTTCAGCTGATTTGATAGGTGGGAGAAATCCTGCTCCTTTTTACTTGTGTCGTCGCCAACATGAGTGAAGGACTGAAAACAGCAGCACATTTTACGGGGAATATCGGGAATGCTCTAACCATAGCACCGTATATATAAAATCCTTTTTGATAGCCTTTTAAGATACAAATATTGAAAAGGCCTAGCAAACGCAAGCTGGCTAATGACTCTAACTTTTGCCTCCTATCTGTCATGCTGTTTAAATATGTAGTTATTATCGTTGTTCTTGCTGACATTATTATTTTGTTTATTTCAACTGAGCTACAATCACACAGGGAGAGACTTTCAACGGGAGGCTTGGGGACTGTACAAAGAGACTTTGTTTGGAGCTTCTTTGCTCTAAAAAGATTTCCCAAGCAGTCTGAAAAAATAGGTAAATTAAAATGCTTTCCCTGTGGCATTTTTCAGAGGCCATATCATATTCGCTCCAACACTTCCACAAATGAAATCGCTCACGTGTTCAAGACGGCTACAGTGATGTACCCTGCTGCTTGGTCCACAGGCATGGTGTCGCTAATCAAAAAGGTGAGGGCAGCCGTGGAAGTGGATGGCTTAGGGGCTGGGATGTATTGTATCTGGGCGTCTGCTGAAAGCAGCCGAGTCCCTCCATCGTGCTTTGTGGCCTTTGCAGTAAATTGTGGGGATTCATTGCGAATTGTGTCCAGACCCAGTGTCAGTGACCTTCAGATGGTACCATATCATAAATATCCAGCTTTTAATGTTGTAGCCGCACTAATGTAATGAACAGCTAGCGGTACTGCATCCTGGACTGATGGGGATGAAGTTTGTGCTGGCAAGTGCGGCTGCTGCTAATGCATCTCTTCTAAGGACACATGCAGTCTTTGCTTCCAGAATTTCCCCTATAACTTTGTCTCTCTGGAATGACGTAACTTAGAAGTAGATATTAATATATGTGTCAATAAATTTGGCTAAAAATTGCATAATTTTTTTTTTTTAAAACCATTTTTCCCAATAATGAAACGATTTGCAGGAAGTGCTGGTAAGTGCTGTTGAAATCCTTTGATGCCATGTGGTTTATGCACAACTGTAATTATTTTTTAATAAAGCTGTTATCAAAATTGCTTCAAAATCATTACTGGAATCATTTTGAAGCTGAAATCATGTTTGAAGTGAAGCCATACCTTCAATAAACAAAACTATTGCTTGACAGTGTCAGACACTGTTTGCATACAGTGGCAGCAAAGCTGAAATACTGAACCCTGCATAACAGCACTAGCTGCAAATTTTGGAAAGCATGTAAGTAGTTTTCTAATTTTCAAGTATGTGTAGGCAATAAAGTAGTACTTAACGTAGCTTTCATCTATTTTTTGTTCCAAATAGTATGTAGAAGTATTTTGTCACCTCTAATGAAATACTCTCAAACTTTTTAATGAAAATGAGACATCAGTTCTTTGCAGAGGCAGAATCATGGCGTATTTTCCAAGAAGAAAATTGAGGAATATCTCCATTTGCTTAAAATTAAATGGAGCTAATATTTCATTAAGCCTAACAGTAATATAGGGATATTTACTGCAGATGTCCTCTGTGTTGTTATGTTGGAAGTTTTTCCCTGGACCACAACATGCCACAAGCCATATAGGCTCCCTTGTGAATAAATAATGCAATGTCACAGTTATTTAAATTTCCAAGTGCCCCTTTGCATCTGGTTTAACAGCCAGATGTATTATATATGAAGCCAACTGTGGTTCTGTCCTGGCTCAAACATCTCCTGTGAATTTTTGTATTTATTAACATTCAAGGCAAATTATCATTCATGGCAGAGCCGCATCGCTCACATTAGGACTGGAGCATAGAGCTCCACAGAAGGAAATTAATTGTGAGGGATGTCTCTGTGTACCGCACACTCCGCACAGCCCTCTCTGCCCACACCCAGCTGCACGCCAGCATGAGACGGGAGGCTAAGGGGGTCACCTTATCCCTTTACGGAGGGTTTGGATCATCTGGTTTTCCTGCTAGGTTTTCGGAGCGCATACTATCAGGAGTTGATGCAATGAATCCTTGAACTTCAGAGACAAACTCAGTCATTTCCTTCCACAGAAGTAATTCCTACAGCAATGTTAAAAATTGCTGAAAATAAGCAGTGTGAACCCATTATTTCACACTGGAATTATACTTATGAATATTCCATTACTAGAGTGAGGAAACAGGGGATGTTTTACTGATATGGTATTAAATTGGGAACACAAAGGCATGAGTTTAACTTCCCATTCTGAAACAAATGGTTATTTTTAACCTTGGACAAATTGTTTTAACGTCACTGCCGCCTCATCGCCTGCGCCTAACTTTTACAGGGGTAAAAGTTGTTCATAAAAATGAAAATAAATAGAGTTAAAGATTGTGAGCCCCTGGCATACGCTGGTGAAGGGAATCCGAGCCAGAGCAACAGAAAAGAGGCACCCGCTCGAAGTGCCGGTGTTCATGCACAGTGTCACCGGCGCTGTGTTTCCCAAGCCCCGTTGAGTGGAGCATCCAACCTGTGGGGACAGCAGATGGCACGGGGCGGGAGCGGGGCGACTGGCCCCGGGTGCTGCAGCACGGCGCTGCGCTCAGCAGGGTGTCCCTGGGGTGCCTCCCTGAGCCCCAGTGACGGAGACAGAGGCCATGGTGTCCCCAGCGGCTGCTCCTTGTCACAGGGTGAGGCACGGCTGACCCTGCGGTCCAGCCCAAACTGAAAACCTGCCTCAGCCTCACACTTAGCAATGACAGCCAAAGCTGTCCTGGAGCTCCGTCCCTAGGGCCTCTGTAACTGTGTGCCATCACCGCAGCCCTGGGCAGTTCCCTGGCTCCCTTTGACAGTCCCACTTGCCATGGGCAAAAGCAGCTCCTTCTCAAAAAGCAGCTACTGACAGATGCACACTCAAAAGTCTGATGGTGGTTTCCCTGCCCCAGCTGTTACCTGGTGTAACTCTGCTACAGACACATCTGTATGTACCTGATCTCTGATTTCGCATCTCAGGGTCTCGCTTTCTCACCTCTTCCATTTAACTCTTGCTGCAGTTGCTTGAGCCAAACCCCGAGAAGCGTTTTTCTCAGCTGAAAGATATCCAGGACTTTCCGTATCTGTCAGATGTGAACTGGGATGCTGTTCTCCAGAAAAGGATAATGCCAGAATTCATTCCCACAGTAAGGCAATTTTAATTTAAAAGGTTCTCAATGTAACCAAGCGTTAGACGCTGCAGCCTGCCCTCATGCCTGGCACCAGATCATGGGAAGTTCTTACAAATTTCCACAAGAGTATCAGATGTTGTAAGGTACAGGGAAAAAGAGAGGCAAGGGCAAAATTTTCACTTTCCTGTGGGTGTAATAAAGAGTAATGGGGATGACTACAAAGTGTGTGCCCCCAAATTGATCTGCTCTGTTTATAATATTCCCAGAATTTCTGCATGCAGAACTGGTCTTACACGCTCCAGACTGTCCATGGCATGCTAGGTGAAACACACGCTGACACTGCCTGTGAGCCGTCCTGCACTGAACCACCTTTCTTAGCAGCCCTGCTTAGGACTAGCTCTTCAAATGCAAAAATCCAATGAAGAGACATAGGCTCATGAGCAGCCTGGAGATCACCCACCATTTTATGATAATTGTTACTTCCTGTAATGACTCTCCCTGACAAACCTATTGTTCATAGTAAAATAACAAATACAGTAGATTAGTGTTTCTGATCCTTTTTTAATTGGATTAAAACAGCACAGAAGTAACATAACCCTTACGGAAAATAATCCAAATTTGTTGTGTGCAGTGTTACTCCGACTGTTTTTCAGCCAAACAAAAGTTGGGCTAAACTATGAATATTTGCTAATTTTATGTATTTTCCCCCTCTGTTGGTGGTTTTCTCTGTGGTGAGTGTACATATATTGCTTTAAAACTAGTTTTGCAGGCTGCTGTGCTCTTTCCAGCAGAGGCACAGCCCAGCTGAGACACACAGTCCTTGTCCTCACCGTCACTTCGAAGCAGCCAAGGGGCAGAGTAGAAGCAGTGAGCACAAAAAGAGCAGTTGCCACCTTGACAATATGTCCCCCTGGCTGAGGGAACTGACAAAATATGTAAGAACCACAGCAGGTATTCTGACTATGTGTGCAGTTGTAATTAGTTTATTTTTTACAAAATTCAGCTCCCAGATGCAGTCCAATTTATGAAGGACTTTTCAAGACAGGCTCTGATCACTTAAGGCCACCTCTCTCTCCCCTCCAGAAAGGCAGACTGAACTGTGACCCAACCTTTGAACTGGAAGAAATGATCCTAGAATCCAAACCTCTTCACAAGAAAAAAAAACGCTTGGCTAAGAAGGAGAAAGACACCAGCAAAAACAATTCCTCCCAGGTGAGAGCAAGCAGGTACAAGCATGAGGTCAAGCAATTCTCTCATTTTCCAAGAAAGCTGATTGCCATCTAACAAGACCACAGCAAACTGCTTAAACAGACCATTTTTTTTTTCTCTTATGACCAACTTTATTCCCAAGACTCTTCGCATCTTCCCTTTGGTGGAAGGCAGCATGTATACGCACTGGTTTTGTATGAGAGGAGAGTCTTAATGCCATTCTCCCCACTGTGGTGCTAAAGATGCTCTATACCTAAAGATATCTCTATATCTCCTTGAAATTGTCCTTGTAATGTCTTTCCGTGTCAACTGTGAATTTATTCCCCATCTCTTTATTTTTCTATTCAAATGTGAAAGGCCTGCCATCTTCAAAAGCACCTAGAGATGCTCCAGAGGGACTTCATTGTTTTCAACAGAGAAAAGTAAGCACTGATACAGAAGCAGCATCAGAGACTCTGGCCCTTGTCAAAGCCTTTGACAGACTTGGGTTTTGGGCCATCTTGGCAAATGCTGCAGATGGGGGTTTAGGAGCTTACTAATGAGGCAGCTGAGGAGAGCAGGTACTGGTGAATGCTGGTGATGGGTCATCTGCCGGGGACTGACGTGGCATTTCTCTTCTATTGAGAAGAAATTTGAGGGCTGGGCCCACAGCCACAAACTGCATTAATTGCCCCGTTTGTGCCGGCAAACTGTTACTGCGGGGGCTCAGCACTGCGGGGGCTCGGGGCTGCGGGGGCTTGTGGCTGTGGGGGCCCAGTACTGCGGGGGCTCAGCAATGCAGGGGCTCGTGGCTGCAGGGGGTCACAAGTGGCGGCTCGTGCCAGGGAATGGGATGCTCCCAGGCGGCCGCACCACTGCGTGGGCCTTGGCACTGCCTGGGCTTTCCCTCACAGCTTGACTGTCCCTTTCTCTCCCTAAGGGTGAGACACCACCACGACGACATCCAGACCATAACACTGGCAAAAAGCAGAGGCACGTACAAGGACAACTAGAACAACATCTGAGAGCAGCGCAGCCCCTGCTGGAGCTTTCCTCGTGGGGCCAGCGCACACCCACCCGCACACCTTCACGATGCTGGGCCATCGGACTCGTCCACTGCTGCCGGGACAGTTCTGATAGCCCAGGGCAGGACGGATGGGCAGGAGCTGGGGCACCCGCTCCCTCTACCTTCCACCCCAGAGCCGGCAGATCCTGGGCATGGGGGGGAGAGGCTGTGGGTGCTGCCTCTGCAATTTGCCACAGTCAGTTGGACGCAGATCCTATTATTTTGCCTTTCTTGGTGGCAGGAGTGTGACTGTGTGAAAATGGATGAGACAGTATTGACCCTTTCGGCTTGGCTAGCCAGCATCACACAGCCCTTGGTGCTGCCTGCCAGGCGACTGCCAGCAGCGTAACCAAAGGGTTGAGCGTGCATCATTTGTAGAGGTGTCATCGCTAGCACCAGTCCTGGTGGTGGGTCCATGACAGCACTGTGGGTCCGGGCTCTGTGGAGGTCAGGACTCTGTGTCGGCTCACGGTTGATGGCTCCAGCTGGAAGAGGCTGCTCTCATCTGCAGCATCTCCACCAGCACATAGAGAGAAAGGTGGCCTTTGCTTACAGACACCTCCTGCGAACATCCCGTGAGTGTGGGCATGGAGGGCTGGAAGTGCCGATGATCTCCTTCCTTAGCTGGGAAGAGGCAGCAAAGGTTTCCTCCTCTCTCCATGCTGGTTCCTGTACCCATTTCTCGCAGAGCAGGGCTGGCTGGTGAGTGGTCAGAGCATGCAGACAGATGTGGAAATGAAGAGTTAACAACCAGGCACTGGCGAATAACCATCATCCAGATGCTTTTCCAGGCCACCCTGAAAAACCCATTCACCATCACATTAAACTGCTGCAACTCACTGAATCTGATGGGGTTTGGCTTCCAACACCAGAGGTGAATTTGAATGTGTATTTTTAATCTCTCTACCATTGAAATCATGCTTGATTTAAGCAGCTACTGTTTGCAGAACAGCTGTACTCCTGGTGTGGTCTTTGCCAAGACTGAGATTGGCCAAAGAAATTCTATTATGGTAATGCTGGGAATGATGCTATTATTTAAATGCTTTGGCAGACCTGAGGTTTCACCTCCTTACTTGACATTTTTCCTATTCTCAGCAATATAATGAATGTGTGATGAACCATTTGCCCCATACGCAAAGGTGTTCTTTGTATCCCCTGTGCCTTCCTGTCTTTCTCTCTGACTAAATCTGATCAACTCAAAAAAAATCTGAATAAAACCACCACCAAATGAAAGGCTCCTTCCCAGATGGTCAATGTTACTTCTGAGATCACTTGCATAGCAAGGCAGAATGGGTGTTCCTCCCGCGTAGAGCCCACTAGGACTTTACTGGACTCTCAGTTTAAATCTGCTTTTCCCCTGGCTGAAGACTTTCAGACACCCTCTGCCTATGGAGCTGTGGATTCAGTCCATTACTGACAGATTGTGTGCAGTAGACTTCCCAGTGGTCTTCACAGCTGCTTCTGATAGACTGACACATGAATAATCCCTCTCTCATTCATCTGATGATGGCTGTCTGGTTTGCTTTGGGAAATGTGTGGTTTATGCATGTGCACAGGCAAGCGGCCACCCCTGTGACTGCTGGGAGAGGAGCATCTCCGTTCCCCCCGAGCACGCCTGAATCCAAGGCAGGGGGATCGCCCGTCCGAGCAACTGACCAGAACATCCTGTCTGCCTGTTCTGCCTCTGCAGTGGCATGTAGCGGGCATCCCAGCACTGGGATGAGCACTGGCTCAGTCATAGTTCACACCTAAAAATAAGCTTTAGTTAGGTGTCTTCCACTTTCTGGTCCCTCCTACAACAGTGGTGGTAGGGTGTCCCACCGCCAGCTGCTCCCTAGCTAGCATATGACTTCACTGTATGAACAGGTTTACTGCCAGGGCGCAGCAGCCACACCTTCCCCTGCTCAGACTAGCTCGTGAGCCTTCCCGCAGATTGCGTTAGGTGGCTGGGTCTCCCCTCCATGCTGGCGGTGTCTCTTGGGGGATGCAGCAGAGCACATCTGTGCTGCAGAAAGGCCAAGCAGGGCAGTCCAGCATGGTCACGATGGGTCTGTACAGGGTCCCATCCAAGCCCTCTCCCACCACCTCTGGGGGATGGATTCTCTGGGTGATGATGGGGGCGCCCCCACTCCACTCCCTCTGTGCTGAGAGAGCTCTGGTGTTTGCCTCTGTGCCTACACCCTGCCGGCTCCAACCCTCATGGGACAGTTTCTGCACTGCTTTCACCCATCCAGCTTTTTTTTGCAGTAATTTCTAACAGATATGAGTGGCACCAAATGCGGTTGTAAGTCCTGATATCTTTGTTAACAGGTAGGGTACAGGAAGGCTGCTGGCACAGCAGTGCAAGCACCTCCCCAGATGCAAAGAGGGCCTCTTCTGACTTGCACTGCGCATCCTCTTCCTGACATGGTGCCATGGCTGTATGTACCTTCACCTCTGTACAATAAAGATAAGCAGCCCCCCAGTTTTAGATGACTATAGCAGTTTCTTTGCTGCCATCACATGAAGGTGCCAGGGTAAGGGGAAGCTGGTTCTGGGCAAAGGCTGCAGAGACTGAGGGCTGCAGCACTCACTGTGCAGCGTGCCCTGGTTTCCTCTGTGCAGCTGGCAAGTGCCCTGCAGGCGTGCGGACTTATGCACTGCCGTACCACCACCACCTTCCACACGCTGTGCCTGATAGCCTGGTTTTATTTGCTCAGGTCAGGCTTTTGGCATAGTTGCAGCACAGCGTGTGTGCGCAGGGCTGGGGAGCGGGGGGCAGGCAGCATCGCTGTATGCTGCTAACGTGGAAACAACCAACAGGGAAAGCGTGACCCTTTTCTGTCCAGGAAGCTGCAAGGCTGGAGCGGAGTTAGTTCACCAGTAAGTGGTTATTGGTGTCCTCAAAGTGGGTCATTGCAATGGGAAAGCCACCTTTTCCTGCTAAGTCACAGTACACCCAAATTAGTGTCGCTGTGTTCTTGCTCTCCCCTTCCCCAGCCACCCCTGCTTTCTAGCAGTAAGACTGCTGAGCAGGGTAGGGGTCTCCGTATCTCTCTGCCTTCAGACTTGTCATTCCCAGGGAGGCTAGCCAGAGCACCTGCAGCGTTTTCCATTGATCCTCTATTCTTTGCCTAGTCCTACACTGGGTCTGGGGGGTCTGGGGCCAGGCGCTGTCAAGAAGGACTGTGCCAACAGTTGTACCTGTCCCCCATTCAGCGCACAGCTACAATCACCTTGCTCTGGTGCAGGTAGTGGAGAGGTTCATACACCATAAATGTGTTTTGTCTGGGGCTCCACACAAGGAAACTAGTCCAGCTCCTCGCTGGGGAAAAATCTGTTGCTGCATAAATTGTACTGGCTGACCACAAAAAACCACTCAAGAACTTAAATGGTAAGAACATCACATCTTTAAAAGTTCCCCAAAGACTTCTAAAACCATGCCTCCTTTCCCCTCTTCCTCTGTAAACAGAGGCACAGTCTCAGCTTAATCACTACCAGGCAACAGGGAAAAATCTTTAATTACTTGATAGCAGAACTTCACAAAACTTCTAAGTATGACAGCCTTCCCCACCCCTGGCACAACTATTCTGGCATGGCCCCTTAAGGGCTGCTGCATGGACAACTTGTCCTGTCTGAAATGCAGGCATGTAAAAATAAATATTTCAAGGTCAAATACTTAAGGAAGAAAAAAAACCCCTGTATTTATTTAGCACAGCATAAACTGACGCTTATTTTTTGTAATATTTAAAAAACAATCAAGGGGTTTTTTGCATGCTTTGCAAGCTTTAGAAGGCTGTGACCCTCGGTTTGATAAACGCTGCTTGATAGAAGGGGAGCGTTAACTCACAGGTGCCCACAGAAACGAGCCTCCAAGCCAGCCCCAGCTGGTAAGACCCTAACACCATGCCCAGGCAGTGCTGTGCGGAGCTGGTTTGTCACCACACAGATGACGGGCACAGCTCTTGCCAGGCGTTAACAGCCTGTGATGGCCAGGTCAGGCTGCAGCCAGAGACCAGATGGACAAACTGAACAAGCTTTTACAAACACTTGCGACATGCTGTTTTGCCAATACCTTTGCTTGTGCCCGAGAAGCTGCACCAATACCCTGACACCTACAGCAGCGAGCACCACACAGTTTCCATCTGACAGTCTGTCCCTGCACTGTAGCTCCTCCAGCTCAAACACAGCCCAGAGGCCCCCCTGGAGCCCTGCTGCCCAGCTCGCCCGCAGGGCACAGCTTCGCACCACCCGTGCCCAGCAGCAGCAGCCTGAGGAAGAAAAAAGCCACACGAGTTGTTTGAAGGAACAACTTTTTTTTTTTTAATAAAGTGTACAAAGTAGTAAAACTCCTTACACGAGGTGCTGTGACAGCTGTTACAGAGATGATTTGGGCTCCCCCATGGGCCTCGTGGTGAAACGCCGATGAGCGTTGGGTGGAGACGAAGGACATGAACACGACACAGACCCACCTGCCCCTACCAGCTCTCGTGAACCTGCCCTCCCCATCCCACACCGCACCTCCGGCTGGCCCCCGCCACTTCGCCTGCCAGGCCGGTTCGCCCATGCCAGGTCGTTCCCGCTGTCCCACACAGCAGCATCCCACACGCGTTCAACACAAATAACACACTGAATCGAGCGACCTGTCTGAGCGGCATGCATACAGAAAGGAAGAGTAAAAACACAACCCGACTGAACCCACAACAACAACAGAATTTTAAGGCTATGCATAAAACAAAATGAAGCAATATCTTTAAAGCTAGGTAGCAAGTAGCATTTGTGAAACATAAGGCTTGAGGCTTATAGATTCTTCAGAACAGGTTTATTTGCTTTTCCTTCTTAAACACCAATGTACCATTTTTCTTCCTTCGCTTGAACAGGGATTTTGTTTCCTTCTCGGCAGGGACATTTAACTCAGGGAGGTTATGTTGGAGCGGCCTCCTGGGGGCGCGACAATGCGCTTGCTCGCTGAGCGAACGCCTTCATCAATCTGGGTACCTGCAAGAGGACAAGAAAGCACAAAGGGAAGGGGAAATGCAAAGTTAAGAGCTTTTTCTTCACAGGACTGAGCAGTCAGGCAGCCTGGGGTCTTGCCAAAGGACCTC